AGGCTGTACAATTACAGAGACTGAAGATACTTTTAATTACCTAGTGTTAATTATCTACTAAAAATACTTTGGGAAGGATGAATAGGAGATCCGTTAGGAAGTACATTTCTGCTGTTTATTGTTTAGGAAGCAATCGTTGTATATAAGATAAACTGTCTACTTTAAATGAACACTTGGAGAGCAAAAAAAAAAGGTGGTTTGTATTTTGGAAAGTAAACGTTTCAATAAAAGGACTTAACGGTATTGGCAAAACCACAAGCAATAAAAAAATTAAACTTCCTCACAATTTCTAAGCAAATTTCAAGATTTGGTGACATGTATTACAAACACTATGGTATAACTGATGCACGTACTTTTCACCCTATTTAAGGAAAAGCCATCCTGTGTATTCTTTTTTGCCAGCATTAAATGGCCATGAAATTTTTCTATTCCAGCCCCATACACACTTTGACCCTGATCTTCCCTCTTTACTTGGCCTGCCATAGTAAAATCTAGATAAGACTCTCATCTTACAATGACAACCAGGAGGGCTGAAATGGAAATAAAAATTGACAGTACAAGTTTCTCTGATATCTGTGGCTCCTGTCATTAATAACCAAAACTTACACAGCAAGGAAAAGCTGCACATGTTCATAACTCACAGAGAAGAAAGTCCAGAAAAAAATTACTTTTAGGAAGAAAGATTTTACATGCTTAATTCTCTTTAAACTGAATATATCTTTCTCTTTATTTTCTTCTCATATATTAAGGGACTGAGTCTGTGCACATCAAATCAGTGGAAAATCTTCTAGCTTTGTTAGGTTTAAATGTGCTCCTTAAAAAAATCTAAAAATAAAACCAACTGTGATGGGTTTAAGAGTTAATTTCTGTACACAATATGATTTTTCTACAGTTACTTGAAAAATAATTAATGCTGGTCCCATTTGCATATTGTCCTAAAAACTGCCTCATCCTTACACAAAACCAATCCAAACAGCAAATCACACAGCTTTTACAAGTCCTTGCAAGCTTATTGTCTTTGGTAGCATTTTTATCTGAGTGAAGCTGCAGTGCTGACAGAATTCAATAGCACAAACTCACGTCTGGAACTACACCAGCTCCCTCTATGTACACCTTGGCAAACACATCTTCTGGCTGAAAGACTGCAATGAGATAGGAAATAGAAGCAGTAAAGCTCAGCCTCCCCTATGCTGGTGGCTTCCAGAAGATTGATGGCATTGCTAAGAACGGCGCAGGGCCAGGCGTCCTGCAAACCCTCGCTCCGGGGATACTCGCGGAGTTTTGTCTGCGCTCCGGGCCTGGCTGCCTTCCCATGCAAACGATGCAGGAGGATTAGCTTCTGTGCCAAAGGAAGCACAGATAATTTCGCCTTGACTTGAATGTTAACAAGTAGCAGATCCTGTGTGAGTGAGGTTTGAAAAGTCGTTTTTAAAAGCAGCTGTTTCTTTAAACTTCACTGAACTTTCCAATTAGTGGAAAACTGAATGGCTTTCAGTTGAAACCACATGCAATATAGCCTGGTAACTTTGGGTAACAGTTTTGGAGTGGAATCCTTGAACCCAAGGATGACTAACACCATTCCAGCTCTTATATTGCTGAAGGTACATGTTCAAAGACATATGAAGACTCTGAAACAAAACATTTCCTTGGGGACAAGACAGAAAAAAAAAGTAAGTTTTTAAACCTACAATACCAGTGGCTGTCAGCTGCTGTCTGATGTGAAAAAGTCAAGAACGTGCTTTGTGTTTTACTGCAATAAAGGATTGTGTGACAACATAAATTAAAAATACATAGTTATCTGGCTTTGGAAAGGAGCAGCTGCCTTGTCTCACGTATAATTGGAAGTGTTTGTTAAGAAAACAATTCTCGTGGATGTTGAAAAATATGATTTTTTAAAGTCACACTATTATCAGTGAAAAGTGAAATACTTACCCTGATTCATTTACTGCTTCACTTTGTTCCCTGATATTATTTGACTGAAATATGAAGTATTTACTTTCTCTTCTCCATTGATTTCATTGTAATAATGAAAATTTTAATTCTTTTTAAATTGCATTCACTGTGTTTATTATTGTGTTGGCATAGATTTGACACAAAAGAAAAAATATTGCTTGGAAAAGATGTTCAGTTTCTGTCCAGTTAAAGGTTTATTTAAAAGATGTTAGTTCCCTGAGGTATTTCTTTCTGAAAGTCAGCATTCATATTGTTTTCTTTTTTCTTTTTTTTTTTCTGGTTGATTTTTTTCCTCTGCCCCCTGTGAACTTTGCCCAACTTTCCAAACTACTGGCTTGAAGAAACCCCACCCATCCAGATTTTGTTTGGTCATATAACTCAGGAGAATTCCTGGAATTTTCTGTCCTTTTTTTGCTTGTTCTTATTCTTGTAGTACCTGACAGAAGGTTAATCAGAACTCATTTTCATGCTCTGATAACCTGTGTAGAAAAAAAATACTGAAGGCTGGACTATGAGAGCCTTGATTAGGACAGAACAAATATATTTTAAGTTATGCATGTTAGAATAGTTGCCCATTTTTATAAAATTTAAGTATTCCATACAAAACCAGCAGCAGGAAGCTCTTCCTTGTCTTCAGAAAATTTACTTCTATTCATTAAGGATAAAAATGGTGGAATGAATTTCAGGAGTGTGTATTTTCAAAGAGAGCAGAAGGTGTCGAATCTTTATTATTCGTGTCTCAGGGAAAACCTTTCTGTAGACCATCTGGAATTTCCTAAAAAGGAAACCTTAATCTAATTTCACCTGATGAGAGCCGGATCTGCTTTCTGTTTTCATATGTTTTATATTCAGTCCTGAAACTGGAAAAAACCAATGGTCTGTGGATCAAAAGATAATCATAGTATTTGATACTGTGTGGCTTAATGGATTTAAAGTTACTACCACGGAATCCATGGAAGCTAGCAAAAGGGCCTCAGCAAAAAGACAGATGTAAGAAGATTTTTTGTTGACTTCCTATTCCACTTCAATTGTGGTTCACCACACCAGAAGTGTTGGAAGCACCAGCTACTATTGACCTCAGCAGCACACAGAAAGAAGGGCCATTGCTTTTCAGCTGTCTGGGGACAAGAGAAGTCCCTTGCTTATAAACTAGTGCCCTCAGCAAGCAAGTTAACTAACAGCAAAAAACCCACATATGAGCTGGTGTCACTTTGGAAATAGAAGCTGTTTGTCCCCAGCTCTTCCATGAGAAATGTCTGCTAGTGACTCTGAAAACTCTCCTTGCTCCACACACCAGTCCATGGTGTCCCAGCTGCAAAATCACTGAGGTCATGTTGTGCACAGTCCTCGTGCACCACCAACACTGTCCTGTGCTCTGCCCTGGCCCTACTTTGTCCTTATACCTGTAAAATGCTCACATATGGCCCAGGCTGCTGGGAGGTCAGTACTCTACTGATTATTGTCCCGGGATGGGAGTTTGGAGCAGGAGATGCCTTCAGAATCAAGTGTTAGTTTCTCAAGGATTGAGGGGAACTGTTTCAATAAAGTGTTGCAGCACAAGCTGTGTTTTAAAAAACTTAGCACCAACTCTCCCTAAAGTACCAGTGTTCTTCAACCACTCCAGTCTTCCTCCAAAAGTGGTGCTGCCAAGTTATAGAACTGCTGTAGGCTGTTCTGCACTACTGCAAGTTGTCATAAAATGCAAATCAACAGCCAAGACACTTTTAAATATTTAATTATAGGGCTCTACCTTAAAGCTTCCTTTCCAAGAAGTTGCATGCTTTGCCCAGTGATTTGAGACAAAATTCTCCATTACTATTTAGGAACACATGTAGGTCATAAATTACATGAATCTTTGGCTACTAACCCAGTCTGTACTATGACACCACTGCAGCCTCTCTGCAGATGCCCCCTGCACAAGAGCTGGTTCTGGTGTGGTGGGCACATTCACATTAACTTTCATCTAGCTAGAAACAGGAGCAATCCAGACTCAGCAGTACACACTTCATCACTGACTCTACAAACCTGCAGAAAACTCTACATATATCTATATATAATATAGATATATGATGTTTGTGAGCCCTCACTGGAACCTAAAGTGCTATATTTGTATGATTGTAAAACTGCATGCTATCTGGATTAAACTTGGTGTGGTTATGACCCATCATTTACTGAGTAAAGATACTGCAAGTGCTGACTCACTCAATAACTGATGCTGAAAGTTCTTCCCACACAACACTCTTACTTCTGGCCCAAAACATTTCAGCATGGCTGAAATGAACTTTCCATAGCAGGCTATAAAATACAATCAAAACAATCACAGAATGAAATCTATTGTATTTTATATAATAAATAGGAACCTTGCCCAAACCTCATGTAAGTAGTTGGTTTTCACTCATATGCCGCAGTAGGGTTGCACCTTTGTGTGGTATTACAGAGTGTGGTTTGAAAATCATTTTCTATTACACTTGTGCATCTTTCCAGGAATATAACAACAGAGAATAAAAGGAAGTATTTGCTTCACAGTCAAACACACTGTTCCTTCCCTCTGGGACGACTCACAGGGCTGTAACACCCCTTGTATCTCTCTAACCCAACAAAAGAATAGGAAAGGAAAGCAAGAAAGAGTGATCCTTAGGCAGTAATGCTTTCTATCAGAATTCTCTCGCATTCCCATGAGTATTTTGTTTCTACAGACTGGGTTTTTCTGCCCCAATCATTCTGACTGCTTTCACTAGCAACCGAATCTGATGTGATGTGGTGATCTGCTATCTGCCCCTGTTCTGTTCACAGGATCAGCCAGCACTGAGCAATGGCTGGGCCACTGACAGTATGTGATGATGAGTTTGGACAAGCAGTCAGTACAACTCAAAAGCACTATCTCCTTTTCAAATGTCACACTTCAGTGAAAAATCTGGGAACTGGAAAAAACACCCTGATACTATTAGATCTGATTACAAGAATTAGGCAAAAATGTTACTCTGATCCTGAGGGAACCGCAAACCACCAAATCATCCTGAGTTAAGGAACACACACAGAGTCTTCTATTATGGTAATTTGCAAATGTGTTTCTTTTATTATCAAGAATTTAAAAGCCCTTAAAAGCAATTTTACAAATCAGACTCCCCAGTCTAGGTGCATCTATGTAAGACATAAATGGCACAATGGACTCAAACCAGGGCATTGTGTGCACTGCGGAAGGACAGCCACGCCTAAGATAAAAACGGAAGCTCATTTTGTAGAATACAGCATTCCCACACAATAGCACTGGCACAGGAGGAGAAAATTATGTCATTCATTTAAATTTCTGCTACCACCGGGGAACTCTAGGTATTCAGAAACTACATCTGACCAGAGCACCAAAATTAACAGCGATGAAAAACACCCCCAAGGGAATCAATCATATTTATATATATAATCCAAAAGAGAAACACAGTCTTCATTTCACTTCAGGAAAAAAAAATCACAAATACCATTTGAATTATTACTAAAGCCTTTGAACCCTAACAACAAAAATGCATGCTCATAACAGGCATACACAATACATACAAGGATGTCTTCTTACTTTTCTCACACTACATATCCTATTCAAACACTGAGAAAACACTTATGCCCCAATCCCTTATATGACTGATTTAATTCATCAGTCTTTTTTTAATTCATCTTTTTTTAATTCATCAGCTCTAGGTGACAACAACTATGCCAGGACTGCAGTTGTTAAGGAGATTCAGCACAGGAACACTTGAAATTTTCTTAAGTTTTAAGCATGCTTTTGAAGCATCTGTTCTTCAAAAAGTCTAGTTCTTCCACATCACAGACTAATCTGTAAAGCCTCAAACTTAATTATGGAAATTGCAAAATAAAAGTGATGACTGCAAGCCAACGAAGAGGTGGGGGTTGGCACCCTGGGGGAGCAGCTCTAGGGCTCTTCCCAGTGTCTGCCTTGTTCTCCAGGTCAGGAGACCATTCCCAAAGAGCAGCAGAGCTCTGTTCCTGCCTGCTGGAGGCACTCACAGAACTTCACAGTAAAAAGGCATACCCTGAAAATGTTCTGGTACAAAAAGAGATGTGACCACAGTGTTTTATGTCTGAAGTGGAGAATAAGGGGAAAAGTGAAAAAGGAATAGTAGGGGGGTAATGCCTTATCTTTTCCTGGACACACATGCACACTTAAACATACACCAACAGGTCCCCCAAACTGTGCCAGGGGATCCTTCTGAGGGTCTAACAATTTGCAGTTATTTGGATCTGCACTTCATAAGGCAGCAAAACATTCTATTTTAAGATAAAGCAATGACATTTTAGACTGCTCTTGGGAATATTTTCCATTTTCTCAGAGGTCTATTTCGACTTCTCAGTTTCACTATTGCAGTGTTTACTAGTAAGTTACAAGATATCTTCTTTGAGCTCAACTTTTTGATCCATGAACCCTGTTAAAACGAACATTTTCTACTGCCACTTCAGTGACATGGCTGACACCAATTTGAAATGAAAAAATAACCAGGGTATCTAGTAGAGTCAAAACAGCTTTACAACAGCATCGCAAACAGCTTTAGCAGAAGGAAAAGTACAAAGGATTATGTGTAATTCCAAAAAGTTTTGATTAAATTTGGAATCTAGTAGATGAATTGTGCTCTAGAAATTGTTTTTAGGGCATAGAATTCACCTTAAGGTGAGGAAAGGCCAAGGATACACTCTTTAAATGTAATGAAACACAGAGAAGTGAGGCAGACTTGCAAACCAATGGCACAGGACTTGTTAAAGAATATGCAGGCAGAATTAAAATTATCACAGACAGGATATCCTTGACTGTGAGCTCCAGTTCCATAGGTTTCCACCTAAATAATCCTGCTTAGACCCTGAATTTTGCAATTTCATTAATATAAACTGCTACAGGGGTCAGCAGGACCTGACACTAACACGAAGTACTACCACAGACCTAGATATGACTGCTTAGATTTTATCCCAAAGTAATTTCCTTCCATAAGGAAAATAGTATGAGAAAAAAGGTACCTTCTTACTCTAGGCACACAATCCTGTTTTGGTTTTGTTGTTTTTTTGTTTTGTTTTGGTTTTTTTTCATGACAGTGTTAAATACTTAAAGCACTTTAGGAGGACCAAAAAATATAACTGTTTTTTTTGACTAAAACTCTGACAAATGGATGCACTCCATTCCCACACAGTGGAACTGTATTCCCCTTTAGGCATCACCAAAAAAACTTTTTTGGTGCATTTCAGTGGCAAAACACCGACCATGGTGTAACAGGGGGCTTCAAGACTCAGTTTACATTGCTTAAGTTGAAAATCATGCTTTTGATTTGTAAATGGAACTGAGTATAGGAACTATTCAGACTGAAAACCTATGGAAGGGCCATTTTACCAAGACATTTTTCTGACTGCAAGTCCTAGGCACAAACATGCATAAAATTGCTTTCTTCCAAAATAGGAAAATGGGTCTCTTGGATTGTTGCTCATAAAGAGAAAAGGGGAGCAGAAATAACTACATTTTTGTTCTGCTTAAAAATTAATGTAGCATGGATTTTAAATCTAAACCTGAGGCCTTTCAAAGATGGGCAGCAGTAACCGCCATAAGCATTAAATAAAAAAAAAAAAATCACATAGAACCCAGGGGCATTTTCATCTAGAAGTTATTACAGAACTGGATTTAACAATGAATTCCATTTGACTTCAAGTTAACTGTCTGAGCTGCAAGTATTGAGGGCTACCTTTCAAATTCTTCATTGCATATACTGCGTTTTTTAAAATACAGGAAAAAAAATGGTGATTTATTTCTGAGTCCTGATACTCTGGTTCCCACACAGCTGTCTAAGAACAGCCCTGATTACTCAGTGCCAGCTCTCCTTGTTTCCAGCTGCTAAATCCCATTAGAAGCAGCTAAAAATGCATTAAGCGCTTTCCTAACATTACTTTTCCGTATAATCAATTTTTGTAGTTGTCATATGGCTAAGAGAAAGAAAAGCTGGATCAGCAATAAAATTAACTGCTTTCAGAGATGTGTTCAGCAAAGTTAGAACATACACAATCTTTGATTTCTGGGGTGATCAAGCACCTAATACCCATAAGGATTTTTTCCTTAAATTCTCGAGCACAGCCCTGGCTGTGCTATGATTAATTGTGAAGTTTCAAGACCGATTAATTTCCCAGTCGCACAATCCTGCTCTCAAGCCTACAACTAGCTAAGGGTAGATGAAAAATTCGGACTGTCTGCAATTTCTGTTGGAAAGCTCCTGCTTTGAAAGCGGGATAAAAGTCAGGCAATTTCTGGAGTCCTCTGTTAGTCCATTGCAGAGAGTTGCAGAGGAAAAGCATCATTTCCAAACAAAAACAAAGCACTGGTTGCTTCTGAAGTGAAAAGGTGCCATGGAGCCCACTTGTATGAAGCTGCAGTGGTTCACCAGGACTCACTGGAGCTGTAGCACAAGGACTTTATAAAGGGGCAGTGACCAAGTGACTCAGGTGTCGACTTCAAAAATCTGCAACCAGCAATGACAGGATGAATTAAGACAGTAGCTGGAAAACTCAAAAAATGCTGAAGCAGCCAGAGCCAGCTCATGTAAGCCAGGGCACAGAGACTGTCATATGCACAACATCAACAGCTGTACCAAGGGATGTTTCTTACATTTTAGGTGAGACTACATATAGCAATGGGAGCTGCTCATTTGCCTTAACAGCACACACTTATATTTGGAAAATTATGGATTTTTGCTGATGCACTTCAACATCTTGACAATAGTTCCAATCAGAGAACAAGAATCAAACTCATTTAGATAAAGGTATTGTTGCACCGAGATCCTGTTTACTTCCAGTTTTGCATCTTGCTTCTCCAGAAAAGTTAGTCAGGCTTGGCGTGTTTCCGATGTGGAGATTAGAACACAGGAATTCCTTAATTAACTTCACACAACCGCTGAAACAGGAGCCCAGGCCTCTGCACACGGAAGATGATGTGGAGAGTCAGTAATGGCAATACAAGACACACGTCCCCCTGCTCTTCCAATTCTCTACCAGAGAGAGACAGGTGGTTACAGAGCTCTGCATCTGCTCTCATTGGTATCAGTGCAATGGTTTTTCTGTGGCTCTGAAATGAAAAAAGACAAAGAAGTGAAAAGGACTAAGAAAATCTACACATGACAGATGCTGTTTAAACAAAGAAAAATATATAAACACACGCAAATCCTGAAAAACACAAATAATGGTCCTTATGATGTGGGGAAAGATGCTTTAGACCAATATATGCTGGCATACAAACCAAATGTAATCTCAAGGCCCAGCGTGCGGATGAAAAAATCAGTGTACACCCACTAAACCATCTGCAAGGCTCTGCCTCAACAGGAAGCCTTCAGCCTCCGTAGATGTCAATTAAAAGTTCACACTGGATTAATCCACATTAATCGTAACAGCCCTGAGTCCATCCTGCAAGCAGAGGGACTAAAAATATTCCTTGGACTGGCACAGGACCATGAGACATTTGGGCAGGAGCACAGCACACCAGCGTTTTCCTGCTCAGAGCTATCCCATGCCATGTGAGAACACGTTTTGGAACAGACCGTCCAGAGCGAGCAGGGAGCCGCCCTCACAGGAGACAACCCGGCCCCGCGCCGTGCGCTCTGCGATGGGCCTGCAGGAGCCCAGAGGCCCGACTGCGCTCCGGCCTGACACATTCTGTGATTCTCTCGCCGTGACCACCGTGTCCATGCACCGTAACGCTGCTGTCAATACTCCACAACCACGCTCAGGCTTCTCTAGAGGGTTCCCAGTGTGTCCTGCCCCGGCGGCGGGGAAGTTTCGTTTAAAGACGAGCGGGACGGGACCCGCGGCGCGGAGCCCTCACACCGCTCTGGCCCCGCCCCCAGCCCCGCCTTCCCCGCTCGTTGCCGCGCGCCTTCGTGCCCCCGCTCCCCCCGCCCGCCTAGTCTCGCGAGAGCCGCGCGGTCCGGCGCGCGCGGGCCGCGCCATGTCGGATGCCGTTGGGCGCAGCCGGGGCCCCGCCCCGCCCGGCGGCCCCAGCGCCCCGCACTGAGCCCGGAAGCGCCGCCGGCCGCGCTCTGCCCCGGGACCCCGCCACCCGCTCCAGCCGCCGCTCCCCGCCGGCCCACGCGCCTCTCCCTCTGCCCTTCCTCAGGAGCAGCGCGGGGGCCCCCGCGGCGGGGCCCGGGGCAGAGCCGGGGGGCGGGAATGCAGCCGCCGGAGCCGCAGCCGCAGCCGGAGCCGAGCCCCCAGCGCAGCGCGGTGAGGGGGGGCGGCGGGGAGGGAGAGGGGCGGGGGTGGGTGTGGGGGCGGGCAGGGCCGCCCCACGGCCGGGGGTCAGTGAGGGAGGCTTGGGGACACCCCCGCTCCCCATCCCGCCGGGCTGTGGGTGTCCCCCCGTCCCCCGCGGGAGCGGCTGCAGCCGTGCCGGGGGCGCGGACGCGCTGCCCGGGGAGCAGGGGTGTCCTGCCCTGCGTGGGCCCGGGTGTGGTGACGGGAGGCGGCTCGTGTTGATCCTGGCTCCTGTTTTGCTGCCGCACTCCCACGCACCGAGCAGGGAAAACTTTGGTCTTTGTTTTTGGAGCCCTTGGCGGAGCGAGGCGGGCGGACTGCCCGGGGATCCCGTGCGGGTGTCCCCTGGGCAGGGGCTGTGCTGTCTGCTGGGCCACTGATGCTGCTCCTGCTGCGTGGAAGTAAATTAATTAATAAAAAGCAAATGGATTCACAGGTAAACGCTGCCACTGCCCCTTGGACGTGACTGCAGCGCGATGCTGCTGCTGCTGTGCCGTGGCTGTAGGAATAGAAGGCCCCCAAAGGTAGCAAGGCCTTGGCTAGGCTCTGTCCAGAGTCTTGGCTTCGGGTCGGGTTTGAGATCTTATCCACTGCTTGTATTGGCTCTGAGGAAGATTAACTCGCCTTTCATTTTACTTGGTTTCTTTAATTTAAGTGGATATGGTGGATGGATGCAGCTCTTATTTATGCTGTTTGGTGTTAGTGTAGGACTCTGCAGTCGCTATGCTTTTCCCCTTGTTCAAACATAACTTGTAACATGATATTGGCCGTTGTTTCCCTGACTTTAGCAAGGAGAAGACAAGGAGAGGAAAGACAATTGCTCAGGTGGTTTGGGAGTATCTGTACTTCATGTTTTTGTAGAGATTCCCCTTGTCCAAAAAGATGGAATGGCTCAGATGTGCTACACTTGGGAAGTAATGGAAAAACTTAAAGTAAGACACTGTGTTCAGGTAAACAAGCATAAAATTGTTATGGAAGGTGTCAGTGCTAACAGGTTTGAAGATGCTATTCTTCATTTTTAAATAAATCTCCAGAGTGATCAGGTCAACCTATCCAGCTGATGTGTCAGTATATGTTTGTTATTTTTAGTGGTGGTGTTTACTATGACAAAATTGAGTAGTATTTCTTTATGGCCTTATGTTCTCTAGCAGGTCCACCTGATCACTAATATTTCCAGAAGACTTAAGTATAACAGAACTCTTAAAACTTACAGGTAAAGCTTGCATGGTCAAAGGCCAGTCACTGTTCTGGTAACTTTGTTTTCTAGCTCTGCAAGAAAAGCAATACTTTCTTCTGCTCCTTCTTAAGTGTATTTACAGTTAACATATTTCATGTAAAAAGAAGAAATGTTAAATTCATTTCCTCTTTGTAGAGAGAGAGAGAGGAACAGGATTCTTAAAAATAAAGTATTTCACAACATTTGTTAAAGCTTGCACTTTGTCCTGCCTTGTGAACGGTGTCTGTTGACAGAAGCAATCTGAAGATTTCCATAACAACCTGTATTAATGTATATACAGACTGTCTCTGTCCATAAAGTTACCAACATACCAAATTTTGCACACATTAGTAAAGAATTAAAAAATCAGCATTTAAGTCTGCCTTTAATCTTGAATCTTTTGGTTTAAGCACAGGTAGCCAGATAAGTATGATGTATTCTTACTACGAAATTATACTTTTGTGATGTATTTTTTTCATCTTGCATCCTAACCTTTACATATATTGATTACAGGTAAATGTAATGAGGGTATTGTGACATCTGTGTCCATTCTTGTTTCCTGAATCTCACTGGGGCTCCTTTTTCTTTCCCTGACTTTTGATCTTGAGGAAGACTAGATAAGTTGAATAGATATTGTGGAAACATATCTGACTTTCAGCCAGCTTTGGTGATGTCTGTGCTGGTGTCTCTCTGTTAAGGTAATCCTAATGGAAAAAGACTCCTTTGAAGTCATCCAGGAGAGTACATTGATGTGATTCTTTGGGTTATCCGATAATAACTCTCCTCTGTCCCCTCTCAAGAATTATGTAGGGCTTCAATGAAGTTCTTGGTTGCACTGGTCTGCAGAGTCTTTCTCCTGATTTCAAACCTGTGATGATTCATTTTGTATGTATTTGTAAACAGCATAAGTAGCCTCAAAGTATGACCTGCAAAAGTATTCTTGGTTAGGGCAAGAGTTACATGGGTATGTACTGCAGTTCACAATAAATAGGAAACCTAAGATATTTTATTGAATTATTTTTCAAAGCGTTTTGTCTTCAACAGGGATGATTTTCAAATCCCTACTTTCACAGCCTTCAGTGTTTCAACAAAATCAGCAACACAAGCAAAAGCCTTTGATTTACTTTTTTGACACCAAGGTATTTTACTGATGATTGAGTCATTGAGTAAATGAGCGAATCTAGTAAATTTTGGGTAACGTCAAGTCTAAGTGTGCTTAGTCATCCAACTCAACTATGCTGTGACACATTCTGCTCTGGGAGCATCTATGATGCTGCTGTTCCTTCTGCTGTGAGCTGAACTAGGTGCAGTGCCTGTGTGCTCACACATAAGTGCAAGTAAAGTCTAGCTAAAGGTGTTTGCAGTGGAAGTTATTTTGTTACGTGGCATGGTTAAAAGGCAGGTGAAAAATGGAGTGTGGAACTGAGAGGCTTCATACAGAGCCTGAAAACATAAGCACCTTTTTGGCTACTTTTCACTGCAAGATACATGGTAGAAGTATCTGTGACTTGTGGTTTTGCAATATCTTTTCCTGTCCCTGTCTTTATTTTTCTAGCAGAAAAATAAAGCTGAACTGAAAAATGTTGGTGCTACCTAGTGCAGTAAACTGATATTAGGGATTTACATTCAAATCTCTGGCAAAGTTTTCTATTACTGTCGTTTTTTCTTTTTTTTTGTTTGTTTTTTTTTTCTCCAGGTTGGAACTCTTGGTTTTCTATATACTACAGATTTTCTCTAGGCTTATTTCTGTGTGGGCATAGTAGACTAAAATGCTGCCCAAAAGGCAGTATTGACTGTCTTGCTTTTGTGAGAGATTGAGAATCGCTTTGCAGAAGTTGAATGTGTAGTGATGTCATGGTGCCAGTTCTCACGTGTGATGCTCTCCCCGCTAATGGGAAGATGAGTTTTGAAATACTTGTTTGGACTCGTGTGTACGAATGTTGAAGGTGTTGGTTGAAAACACTGCTACAATAGGTTCTTGTAGTTTGCCAAACCATCAAGTATCAAAGTTGTCCTTTGAAAGGCTTTCAAACTGGGAATGTGCTCATAATACTTAAACAAAATGCTCTCTTCAGCTCCAGGCAAATGGTGATAGTGTAGGTGGTTCTGTGGTACTGGATATCCATGCTGGGTGTCTCCTGTTCTGTGTGAGGAGGGTGGTTGGTCAGCAACTTTTATGCTAAGTCAGTGTTTAAGAAGTGGCACTCTGATATTGGTATCCAGGAGACTCATGTGTACAATTTCCAGAAGAAACATCACTGGAGTATTTTCACATGTCACAAAATCCAGTATGTAATATGGTGAGACAATGCCACAGTATTGCTGGTACAATTCAAGTTGTGCTGCGAGTTCTTATTGTTTGACATTTTTTCTTTTCTTCTTTTTGAAGATTAATTATACCAGATAGATCACAATGTGTGTCTCAGCTTAACATCACAGTGGAAGTAACATTTCAATATTCTTACACCCCATTGATTACCATGTTGAATGTTACTCCCTTTTCAGGTATTTTAAGATAGCCAGCATAGCACTACAGAGTAAAAATGAAAAATGCCATCTCTGTTGAGGTTATATACAGTTTTGTGTTTTTAAGGAGCATTAGTTCTTCGCTTCCTGGTGGGCTTTATTTTATTAAGGGCCTGAATTCAAATTAGTGGTATTTTTAAAGCATTGAATTACCAGGTTTTGTCATAATCTGGCTCTTTTGTAAGGAAAATTACTGCTCTTTTCAGAGGGTTGTTTAAAGCAGGGAGCTTTGTAAGCAAATGGCAAAGTCACAAAGAGCAAGACCGAGAGAGAGGAGGGAGTTCATTCTGCTGTGGTGGTGTTGAGCAGCCTGGCTGTCACAGCTCAAGTACAGGTGTTTTCCTACCTGCATGTGGGCTTGCTGGTGGATCATTAAGAGTGTTTCCTGGAAAACACCTTTCAGCAGATTCTGTTCAATCAGTCTTGTTCCACACTCCAAATGAAATACTTTTTTTCAAATGAAATAGCATATCCACTAAAGTGTACGTTAATTTGAAAAGTGGGCCAATTTCTGTGAAATCAGGGTTGACCTAGAGACACATGGAGAGCTTTTAGGGAAAAAAAAACCCTATTACTTGTCATGTATGTTGAGGCAGGAAAAAAAATCATACAATTTAATAAACTGCATTCAATATTGACTGTTTCTTACGAGATTTGGTAAAAAGAACCACAGCAGTGCTGGTATTTTAATCTTGTTGCAGCTTTAAGCTTAAGAATTATTATATTCCTTGTTTATATTTTGGGGTGATTTGCCCTCAAGTCTCCATCTGTTTAAACAACTCTTCCTAGTTTAGTGTCACAGCTGCATTAGAAATTGGCT